AGGAGATCGGGCTGAAACTATAGCTACAAGCTATCCAAGGATGGTACTATAGAATGTCACCTCAAGGTAGGCCTAGTGGCGTCATCTCTTGGTTAGGCCGGAAACTTATCAATCCACCCTCGTATAAGAACAATGGAGTTGATGCAGTAGTGGTCGTCCTTACAAGGACTTTAGCCAAAACAGTTGTCAATTTTTATTAACTGTATTGATTATTTATTCCTTGTGTTAATCTACTGTTGCATTTTTAAATCTACTTCATCAACCCTGCACAGTTAAAAGCATAAATCCTTTGGATGTATGCAGTTCCGTTTATAATCCCTTTATCAATGGCGTTCCTTTTTAGATTCAGATTCATGATGCAAATGTCATGCCTCGATTATGTTTACTCTAAATATCCAAAGAGCAAAGGCGACACTATAACGAGAGGGTGAAAAAGAACATAAATCGGCATATTCTGTCGTACAAAAGTCACATCACCATGTTCACTTTTACTGCCCATATTCTTAACGTATTCAAAGCATCTACATAAGCGAGGACAAGCCAATAAAATAAAAAGTACCTATGTTGGCCTCGTGTTTTATTAATGCGAAATTGTCTGGCATCGAAAAAAATAAATTCCTTCAGCCGGAACTTTCACTGCTTTTCGACACTTGATGATTAGACAGTTTTTATTGCCCGCAATAATAGAAAGTGCCTAAAGGCAGAGGGTGACGGGTTTCTATAAATTTTATTGCTACATTCCTCTGTGCCATCCTTCGAAATATCGTTTACAGAAAAGAATATTTTCTATTCTTCACAAGATTTCTTTTCGACATAATGCCTCGACACTTGTAAGGAAATTTAGATTTTATTGAAGATGTTTTTCCATAATACTTCATTGTTTTTTATGAAAAGAACGCTGCGTTTTCCTGAATGGTGGAAGATAATTCTACGTTCTTTGTCATTTCCTAGCACGTAAATGTTCTTCCTAAAAGTAACCAGCATGTTCAGTTATTTTTAAGAAAACGGGAATAAAATGAAATGCATATACTTCTAAAACAAATTACCCCAAACGTTCTCACCCTATTTAGCCTTTAGGAATTTCCTGTTGACTTAGCCCTTCATCATCATCATAAGGTCGTCAGTCCTAAGAATGGTTAAAACGCCCACCTACACTCCTTCCTATCTTGAGCTAATTTTCGCATCTCCTTAAAACTAGAACATCCTACATCCTTAACTATTCGCGAATAGTCATCCAATCTAGGTCTACCTGTACTGCTCGTAACTCCTGTTTCTGCTTCCAATATGTCTCTGACTAGTCCTTCATGCCTGAGAAGGTGTCCTAGTAACCTATCTCGCCTATTGTTTATTAACTTCCATAGAGTCCTCTGTTATCCTATTCTTTTTAATACCTCTTCATTTCTAACCTTCTCTATCCACGGTATCCTCATCATTTGCCGGTAACACCATATTTGGAACGCTTCTAATCATTTCGCACCCATGCAGCACCGTGCTCCGAACATACACCTTGAACAATCTTTTTCGAATTTCTAAATAAATTTACCGCATTCCTGCAAGTGTTCAGGGTCATTTCTAATACAAAATGGAATGTCTTCAACATATTTTTCACGTCAGAAACTAACGTCTTCTCCGATGAAAGAAATAAGCATTTAAGTTATTAAGTTTATATGATCAAGTACCTAATTTTAACACAAGGTAGGCGTTTTAATTTCTCTTTCTTTCACATGTGACTCATTGACCGCGGTTTTGCGACACCATTGGAGGTAGTAGAGGTACTTACTGTTGTATTTTATCGGACTATTGGATCGGGTCCAGATCAAGTCTACTCTCAAAGAAAACCAGTTTTGTTTTCATCAATGAAATACCGTTTTGTATTTCGTTCGAATATTTTCGACACCAAAACAATTTGCAAAGAAGCTTTCACAGTTTTATCCCGTAGATAAACCTCAAAGTCAGAAAAATAGACAGAAACAGTATATGAAGACACAAAATAAGTAGGTTAATTATTGCAAAAAACACAAATGGGTCTAAGGTTGTTATATACCTTGGCAAATTATCTATTAACTGTGAAAGTTTTAAACGTAAAACTTTGTTCATACTTACCTCTGATAAATTTTTAAACTTGATTTCTAGAAATCTGTATAAACCTTAAACAGGAATCTATATTCTCGTGACTGTTGAATGTAATCCTATCTTACTGTTTGCAATTAAGTTATCAGACGCCAAATAAAAATCTACAGACGATGAATAAGTATGATGCTTGTATTATAGATAATGCAAGTCAGCGTCTTGTGGAGATATCAAATGGGCACTTACGAAGGATGTCATTTTAGATTCTTACGTTGACGAAAGAGGAATTGAATTTCTTTTATCCTATGAACGCATCCGCTTCTTTATCAGATGAATATTTATTACATGGTGACAGAGTAACTGTTTATAGAATTACATGCACACGCATGCATAACTTCCATACCTAATTACAGCATTAATAATTTGTTCCATATGGGTAACGGCGCGACTTATGAACGTTAATTGAATTAATAACAATAAATTTAAAATAGGATGAGGTGAACATTGTTGGATTATACCGAATTAATAATCGTAAACATTCAAGAAAGGAGAAAATTCAATTAAGATAAATATTATTTTTATTTGATAAAATGTGTTAGTGAATTATTTTTACCCATCACTGATATCCTCAAATTAATGATAACTGGTGCGTACCTAAAACCAGGGTCCCATCTTCGTTTCTCGGCAAGGGGATTATCTGTAGGTAGTAAAATTAATTCACTAATACATTGAATTATTGTTATATAAAATTATTTCTGCAGTTTATTTACCATCTATGTACTCAAAACGAAAGGAATTTTAAGAATTCCATGGACGAAAGATTAGTAACGGTAATGATCAAGCACGTATAAATCTGTTGCAAATTGTAACTAAAAGTCAGTTTTTTGACTTCAGAGAAAGTTCTTCTTTGGACATTACAACCGTACAATTTTATTTATTAATACCAGTAGGAGTTATACGGTATTGAAATTGTTAGCGTTTTCAAATCGTAACAAAGAAATTATATAAGACGTGAAATTTTAAATTCCTTCAAGCTAGTTGTAGAACGTTAACTGGAATATGCACCCACTTAATGTTGTGTAATGAATGCTTTGCTCTGAATTCAATCTACAAGTGATAAAAAATTATGAACTTCATAAAAGGCTTTGACTTCTTCAGATATTTCACGTAGAATTAAGTCATCTAAAGAAGTACCTACTGTTAGATAATAATGTGAATTTAATTGTTGATCTATTTGCACTTTTTATTGAAATGGAAATGTATTATTGTTTCAGGCTGAAGAATTAAACGCGATTGTGGGAAATGCATTCCGTATGGCTTACGCTGCCCAATTGCAAAAACAACCAACTTTTCAAGAAGTTATAGCGTCACAACTAGACCAATACCAAACCGAAAAAGTAAATTGGGTATGTCATTCATTTTATCCTTTAATAATAACCATACAAAGACACAAGGGACTAAGTAACTGTTGTTTTGGGTTTCAACCGCGTCAAAAGTTACGAATGGTTTCTCTTTGTTCTACTGGTTCACATTTTTTTTTGCTTGTCAGTAATCTTTGGATTCCTGTTTCATTCTGATTAATCCTGCTTACGCGATCAAAACCTATTTCAATAATTATTATATCAATTGTATAACGGTTGTNTTGTTCCATATGGGTAACGGCGCGACTTATGAACGTTAATTGAATTAATAACAATAAATTTAAAATAGGATGAGGTGAACATTGTTGGATTATACCGAATTAATAATCGTAAACATTCAAGAAAGGAGAAAATTCAATTAAGATAAATATTATTTTTATTTGATAAAATGTGTTAGTGAATTATTTTTACCCATCACTGATATCCTCAAATTAATGATAACTGGTGCGTACCTAAAACCAGGGTCCCATCTTCGTTTCTCGGCAAGGGGATTATCTGTAGGTAGTAAAATTAATTCACTAATACATTGAATTATTGTTATATAAAATTATTTCTGCAGTTTATTTACCATCTATGTACTCAAAACGAAAGGAATTTTAAGAATTCCATGGACGAAAGATTAGTAACGGTAATGATCAAGCACGTATAAATCTGTTGCAAATTGTAACTAAAAGTCAGTTTTTTGACTTCAGAGAAAGTTCTTCTTTGGACATTACAACCGTACAATTTTATTTATTAATACCAGTAGGAGTTATACGGTATTGAAATTGTTAGCGTTTTCAAATCGTAACAAAGAAATTATATAAGACGTGAAATTTTAAATTCCTTCAAGCTAGTTGTAGAACGTTAACTGGAATATGCACCCACTTAATGTTGTGTAATGAATGCTTTGCTCTGAATTCAATCTACAAGTGATAAAAAATTATGAACTTCATAAAAGGCTTTGACTTCTTCAGATATTTCACGTAGAATTAAGTCATCTAAAGAAGTACCTACTGTTAGATAATAATGTGAATTTAATTGTTGATCTATTTGCACTTTTTATTGAAATGGAAATGTATTATTGTTTCAGGCTGAAGAATTAAACGCGATTGTGGGAAATGCATTCCGTATGGCTTACGCTGCCCAATTGCAAAAACAACCAACTTTTCAAGAAGTTATAGCGTCACAACTAGACCAATACCAAACCGAAAAAGTAAATTGGGTATGTCATTCATTTTATCCTTTAATAATAACCATACAAAGACACAAGGGACTAAGTAACTGTTGTTTTGGGTTTCAACCGCGTCAAAAGTTACGAATGGTTTCTCTTTGTTCTACTGGTTCACATTTTTTTTTGCTTGTCAGTAATCTTTGGATTCCTGTTTCATTCTGATTAATCCTGCTTACGCGATCAAAACCTATTTCAATAATTATTATATCAATTGTATAACGGTTGTGATAATTTTAGTGTGATATTTTTTTCAGTCAAAGGGGCTAACACCCGGTTTATTCAAAGATAAACTGTCACCCCATAACAGTACCCGGCAATCTCCTGAGACAGAAATGCAGTTGAACGGAAATTCGGAAGGGTCCACGTTACGTCTGGGACCGCCGTCAACAATTCCCGGACTCCGGCCGAGTCATAAATTCAATGTCCTGGATTTTCCCGACAAAATCCAATCGTCTCATCCTAGTCCACCAAGCAGCGACGAGAGCAACTCGCCTACAGAACTAAACTCATGTAAACGAATGACTGAAAAACCTCCCCTCATCAAAAGGATAGCGATGGGATTAACGGGAAATCATCACCAACACGAAGTGGACGACGATAGTTATCCTTTGTTCAGTAGAAGTTCGCCAAATAGCACGTCCAGCAGTACGCCAAATAGTCCTCCAGCCAGCGGAAGGCAACAGTGTCCTTCAGGGTTTGTACTTACTATATATTAAATTTTCGTAAATAGAAATAGCACCAAAGTCATCATTACTTTTCAGTTACGTCAATGATAACGGTACTAGTGTTAACAATAGTCCGAAAATAACAATATCCAGGACCAACAATGACTTGGAAAAGAATGACGACGATGAAGAAGATGAAGAAGAAACAGAATTATCGTCTACAACTCAGAAGAATGTAACGGACAATGGGCGTATCGTATTACACAATTCACCGGCTTCGACTGAACAAGAGTTCAAGTCAAAAAGAATATCCCAAATAAGTTCGAGTAGTTCCAGTTCATGCCAGCAAAGCAGTACCGAAAACACTTCGATCAGTTTCACCCCAACACCTCCCCCATTGCCAGAACGAACCGATTCCTTGTTTAAAGAAGAAGGAGAGCTTCGATCAGCGCCGTGGTTTCAAGCGGGAATTCCTAGGGAAATCACGCTGGAGGTGTTAAGTCAAGAACCTGTGGGAGCCTTCATGGTTAGAGAAAGTACCACGAAGCCAGGCTGTTACGCGTTGTCGTTGAGAGTTCCTAGAAATTTTCAACCATCTGGAATTGCACACTATCTTATAATTAGGACGAATAAGGGCTTTAGAATAAAGGTAAGAAATATTGACTTTTTTCTTAGATGACATAGAATTTAGAGTATTTTTTTTTTAATTTTTTAGGGCTTTACAAAGGAATTTTCTACGTTAACGTCATTAATAACGCACCATTCTGTGATGCAAGAACTTCTACCGTGTCCGTTGTCGTTAAGTCGTTATAATCCGAGTTTTGTAAAATCGGATTCGCGAAAGGACTTTGCGGATATTGACATGGATCCAGATTACAACACTTTGGCCGACTTTCGAAAAATGATGGCGGATTTAAAGTAGTATATTGATGTAGTTTTTTGATCGATGGAAAGTGCTAGTCTCGACTGCTTTGTATGGTGTTAAAAATGTCGGCGCCGAAAAGACACAAATAAGTGTTCCTTGTGATATTCCAGTGTTAATTATGTTAATTATTATCATGCATTATAATATAAAGTATTACATTTATAACTTTGTACAGAAAAAGTTATATAAAACTGACATTTTACAATATAGTCGATATTTTATTAACTGTACAAATAAATGAACTTTTTGGTCATTTTACTGTATTGTATTGTAAATAAATTTTGAAAATCGAAGAAACAGGCTCGGCATTTGGAACAACATAAAATAAGGTAAGTGTCGTACTTAATAAAACTTATTTCGTCACAAATTATCAAAATTATCTTAAAACTTGGACAGTTGGGATCAATTTCTAGACCCCCAAGTAAACCCTACTTAAAGTTTACCCTCTGGTCCTACTTAAAATCTTACTTATGTTTGACGCGCTATCTATAAAGAGAATGCTGAAGCTTTACATTATTTCGTATACCTTCCTGTAGTTCAATAAGTGAATGAAGCATTGAATGTACGAATTCAGGGTCAGATGGCACCACCAATAGGAGTTTTCTAATAATTTTCCTCGATAAAAGTTAGTTCGAAATGTAAAGCGCGACAAATGAGTGAGTAATCTGTTGTTCGCTTTAATGTTTATATGTCGTTAAATACGTGCAAATTGATTTCGTTACTCAAGGATACCTGACAATGCTGGATTATTACAACTAATGCAAATAAGGATTAACCAAAAAAAAGGTAAATTATCATATAAATTAAAAGTTAACAACTTGTGAAGAGTGGAAGAAATTAACCATACTAACAAATTAATCACTAAAAAATTAGTTTTGAGAAAGGTGAAAAATAAATACTCGTCCTTCCAAAAGGAAAATGCCGAATGTGCGTACATAAAATATAGCCAAAAAAACGCACTTATGCATTTTAAAGCTATCCTATGTAGGCAAATGTAAACCACACAAAAAATGCAAAATTGTAGTCTTAACTGTATAAATTACAAAGTTGAATTATTATTCAATGAAAATTTTCCTGAAAAAATTAGAGACGTAGGTATTCCTTCTAGTTAAAAATTTTGTTAAAATTATTAAAAGGTTTGTCTTTTAGGGTGTTTTTCTTCGAAAACAACATTTTTAGCTGTAAATGATGAGCAGATCTTGCAAGTTGCTTTAATTTTAAAATGTTTTGTTCTGATTAAATCTACCTACAATTGAAATAACAGTAGATGTTGGATCTTTAGATTGAAATAANAATTACTGCTTTATAATTGTGTTACCTCTTTTCTTTAGAAATTTCTAGACGTGGCTGGGTCTCATAAAAAACAAGGGATGGTTTATAAAGTGGGATTACTGAGATGGGTTGGTAAGTACTGACACTTTTAATTCATGAAAGTTTTAAATTATTCATTAAATATGTAAGACCTATTTAATAGAAACGCTTTTTCATCATCTTTCAGCATCGATGGTATCAACTGCGTACCTACATCCCAAAATTCGATCACCTTTTTGGACCATGGGGGAGTTTTTCCATTTTCCGCTGTTGAGCTGTCGTGTGGAAATTGGGACGTTCGTTGTATAATTATGTAGATAGACAAAAGTGGATTTATTATTCACAATTTTAAATATCCTTCAGTTATTCTATCAATTTATTGACTTTCTTTTTTGGTAATCTAATGCAATTTTTACATCCTTAGCGTCAAATCATATTAATCATTTTGATTTTTATCTTATTGCGAAAAGTTTCGCCTTTTTACTTATTTTTTAGTCTTTGCAGTAGTCATGCATAAATTTTTATTTTATATTTCAACTTACAATTCATTTTCTATCACTTTTAATATTTATTTCAAGTTGCAGTACCTACTTCATTTATGGTGTTTAATTATTCTTAAAAAATACTAAAAAAGACAGTCTTTATTACTATTATGATTTGTTCTTATAATAATTCTATGTAATGTTTGGTTACTTACTTCCACACCATGAGAATTTTCTTATTTACAAAATTTAGCTTTTTGAGTACTATAAACTGTTTAGGGTGATGGCTGTTACATGTGGAAACTTATCCATAATTATTAAACTAAAACACATAAAGTTTCACGAAATCATAATTGTAATCACGACAATATTGTTTCGTCACGCAGTGGCATCATCAGGGGATGATTATACAAATTTAACTGACTTATACCTACCTATATTCTCTAGGTGGGTGGTGAGAGGTTGTTAAAATTTGTTCGTTTAAAATCACCCCTTTATTATAGTGTCTATTTATTTTTAATTGTTCTAGTAAATTTAACTTAAAACCTAGTAAGTTCGGAGTTGTTTGATCCATACTCTCTCTACTTTTTTATTAATTGTACTATTTTTAAGAACCACCCTCACCTAGCGACAAGAAATCGTGTATCATGTGTCTTTATATTGTCCTTTAGATAAAAACATCACGCTGTGCTGAACATTCGTATAAACAGGTTTTAATATAGAAATTAATAGAATAACATGTAATAATTTGAATGTTATGTTGCTACATAAAAAAATTTCGCAAATAGAATTAATTTAAATTTCAATAAATTAGGTCTTTATAACATCATAGAAATAAAAAAAAAACTATACGGCTTGATATGTGCTTTATACATTAATTAAAAATATTTTATTGTCAATGTATATGTAGTAAACAGTAGGTATACATATGTCCTTCAATATTTGGTAGGTACTTTGCCTATTTAAGGTGGTTATCTCTTGGAAATTTTTCTTTCTTTTCGTTATTATTTCTAGCAAATTCTTTATGCTATTTCACCTTTACTTTCTCATTAATTTTCTTTCATTCTTATTTAAATTTTTAATATTCCTTTATATTCAGTCTACTTTATTTACTACACCCTCTTTACCAATATTTATTATCATTGCACTCATTCCTTAATCTAAACCTTACTATAATTGTCATATCCTTACTTCCTATTAAATACTAGGGTCTTAAATTTTCCTGCGAGCTTTTCCATAGCCACCATTTCATCCCTTCTGCATATTTTGACCTTTGTATTCTTCTGAAATCTTTTCTTTATCATATCACCTATTTTCATTCCCGTATTTTTCTATTTCAATTGGTCTTTATTTATCATTATTCCATACCTATTTTTCATCGTAAAATCCATAACTTTTTCTTTATATCTCTCTTCTTATGCTTCCTTCCTGTAAACGTTCCAATTTTTCCTTATATCTGAGTTCTCTCCTTTTAATCTTATCCATTTCTCCACATTTCGTATCTCATTTTAAGATACAGTTCGACGTGCTTTTTTCCAATTTTAATATCTATTTCATGTACCTACTTTTCATAAATATTCTCCACTTGATTATATCTTTTCCACCCTCAGATTTCTATCCCATAAAAGACAACGATTCTTGCTAATGTGTTGAATAAAATCATCCTTCTTTCCTGATGGTTTCTGCTCAATTTTTGTCCAGTTCCTCACATGTGTATCTTCCTCGTTATTTTCTTCCACCGTATATATCAGATAATTACATTTTCTTCTCCTTTTTTATTAGCGTACCCTTCCATTTTACTTCTTCTAGGTACTTCTTTCTTATTCTGTCCTTTGTCTTTCCAAATTCCTTTATTTTAGTCTTATATTTATTGAATTCTAAACTTTTTTTCTCTAAATACAATTCCAATAATCTGTTTCCTTCTCCATCCAGAATTTTTCCAACTCCCAATTCATTAACCTCGTCACCTCTATCGTTTCTTTGTATATCCCCATTATTCTCTCTATCATCTCTTCATCTATTTCGGTTCTCTAAGTGTACAGGTGGAGTATTTTTGATATAACATTTCTTGCCTTTTGGTTTAAAAATTGCGAAGATAGAAATTTATTTATAAGTTTGGTCAAGCCTCATGCATTTCCCTTCCACATTAATTTGAAAAGTGCAAAAAAATTTAAATTAAACGATATGAATTAATAATAACATTCTACTTTTACTAAAATAACTGAAACTAAGTATGTGATCACTATAAATCTGCTACTAAAACAATATTATTATATTGTTATTCTTTTCTTTTAAGAACAATGCAACTATAAATGATGTGGACCAACGAACAGCCAATTTTCTGGTTGCACGGTAAGTCTTAACTNACTAAAATAACTGAAACTAAGTATGTGATCACTATAAATCTGCTACTAAAACAATATTATTATATTGTTATTCTTTTCTTTTAAGAACAATGCAACTATAAATGATGTGGACCAACGAACAGCCAATTTTCTGGTTGCACGGTAAGTCTTAACTTTTATTTTTCTTTTTATTAGATGTTGCTTTTTGGCGGATTTGGATTACATTACTAACTACATTTTGATGTTCTATAATGTGTGTTATCTAAAATCAGTGTTACAGCTACAAATACAATTTCGCATGTTTTTAACAGAAGCAGTCTCTTTATTCAACTGTATTCTAGACATTGGACTAGTTAGGATGTGTCAAAGTGAAATATTAAAACTTTTGCGTTTTGAAAAAAACATTTGACAAAGTCTGCCTTCCAATTTAGCATACATTTTATGGGAATTGAAGTAAGTGAACGAAGGTGCCGTCAATGGGGGGTTTTAAATTAGTTTATTTTTATAGTCCCTACATTCACGTCAGATATTTCTGGATGTCAACATATTTTAAATTATACTTAAAATAGGCGAGATACAGCGTCGCAACGTGACCTTTAAAAATATAATCTTAAATTTTCTCTTAGGGCTTGAAATTTTATTTTGTAAGTCGCAAAAGTGGATCAAAAATGAAGCAAACAATGCGCTCTGTTCTGGACCGGGATCTTTACTCATAGAGGCCCGCTAGTAGTCCGAAATTTTAGTTATGGATTTCTTGCAAAAATTGTAGAGTCGCACCTTATTTAGGAATTTTATAGTTTTAGTTTCTTTATGGAAAGGGATCCCCTCAAAGGCTTATGTATTGGACCCCGAATGTCTAAGCCAATTTGAATTTGCGGGGTGCCCAATAAGGTGAAATGTACTTCTATTTTGCGAAATCGGAAAGAACTATTCACAACCTCTGATCCTTTTTAACCAATGTTCAAATTTGGACACCCAAAATTCCCCTTTTTACAGTGGTTTAAGCCAATTTAATGCTGTATTATACCAATTGTCGCGGGATGTCGTAATAATATGTAGTATATATAATAATAGTAGTAGTAGTAGTAGTAGTAGTAGTAGTATATGAAGTTGTTCACATTGGCCATTAAAGGTATTAGAAGCTTAAAAAGAGTACAAACAGACATTCCATGAATGCCTTCTAATTCTTTAACTGAAGAGAGACCAAAAACTCCTTGGAAATGGATAATCTAAAATATTGGGTCGATTTTGTTTTCCGGGTTCAATGCCATAGTCCAAATTTGGGCACCCAAAATTTCCCTTTTTACAGTGGTTCAAGCCAATTTAAATTTATATGTTAAAAGTGCGGCAAGGTATCGTACATGGGGACGTACGTTTTGATGAAAGTTTGTTTTTTGGTAATCGAAGAAGGGTATTCATAGCTTCAGATTCCTTTTAACCAATTTTCAAAATTAAAAGGACAAAACTAATTTAAAATTGTATGATAAAAGTGCGCCTGGGTATCGTAAAGGGACATACGTTTTAATGAAAATTCATTTTCGCAAAGTTGAAAGAAATTATTTTTATTTTTAAACAGTGATTCAAATTTGGGTACTCAAAATTTCACTCTTTACAGTGGTTCATGTTCATTTAAGGGTATGATATAAACCGGCGAAATCCAAAAAAGTGATTCATCATCATTATCATCATAACGTCATCAGTCCTAAGACTGGTTTGACACGTACCTCAACTCTTTCCTATCCTGAGCTAAACTTCGCATTTCCCTAAAACTAGAGCCCACATCCTTAACTATTTGCGAAGAGTAATCTAATCTAGATCCACCTCTACCCTTCCTAACTTCTGTTTCTGCCTCTAATATGTCTCTGACTGGACCTTCATGTGTCCTACCAACCTATCTCGCCTATTTTTTATTGACTTCTATAGAGTCCTCTGTTCTCCTATTCTTTCCAATACCTCTTCATTTCTAACCTTTTCTACCCACGATATCCTCATCATCCGCCTATAACACCACATTTCGAACGCTTCTAACCTTTTCTTTTCCGCCGCTCCCACTGTCCATGTTTCGCACCCGTACAACGCCGTGCTCCAAACATACACCTTTAACAACCTTTTTCGAATTTCTAAATTAACCGTTCGCGAGCATAGAAGTGACTTCTTTTTATTAAAGGCGACACGACCCTGCGCTATCCTCTGCTTTATATCCCTACTACTCCTTCCATCCTCACTTATCTGACTTCCTAGGTATCTAAAATCAGCCACTTCTTCTAATTTTTCGTCTCCTATCTTTATATTCGCTCTTTCCCTACTTTTTCTTCCCTTGCATATCAGTATTTTAGTTTTACTTTTATTTATTTTCGTACAGTACTGATCTGTCAGTACCGCTTCCATTTTATTTAAAGGTCCTCTTTCTAGATGCTAATACTGCTATATCATCTGCAAATCTAAGCATACTAATCTTTTGCCCTTGCAGATCTATCCCTACAGTGGTACTGTCTTTAGTGATTCATAACTTTTGTTGTTTTAACCAATTTTCAAATTTGAATATGCATAATTTTGCTCTCAAGTCAATTTACATTTGTTCCTGTCGAAGAAATGATCGCAAATATTTCGAAAACTTCCCTATTTCAGTTTTTTATTGATAGTCGAAAATGCCATTATTTTTTTCCATTAACTTAAGGTACTCCATTACTTTCTTTGGGTATTGCTAAAAAGAAATCTATTTTACTAAAATGTCTACCATTTAAGTGGTTTAAACAAATTTTAAATTGGACTTTAGCTCATGATTTAAAGCATGAATTAGTGCTTTACAATTGTTTTCCCTTCGTTTTAGAAATTCCTACACATGGCTGGATCTCATAAAAAACAAGGGATAGTTTATAAAGTGGGATTACTTAGATGGATCATGTTTCAGCATCGATGGTATCAACAGCGTACGTACATTCCAAAATTCAATCACCTTCTTGAACCATGGGGGAGTTTTACCATTTTCCATTGTTCCATTTTCCATGGAAATTGGGATGTTCGTTGTATAAATATGTAGGTAGACAAAAGTGGGTTTATTGTTCATATTTTTAAATATTTTTCAATTTATTGACTCTCTCTTTTGGTAATCTAATGCAATTTTTGCATCCCTAGCGTCAAATTATTTTTTTTTTGTCTTTGCAGTTGTAATGCGTAAATTTTTATTTTATATTTCCATTCCAATTCATTTTCTATCACTTTTAATTTTTATTTCAAGCTGGCGTACTTTATTTATGGTGTTCAATTATTTTTCAAAAATACCGAAAAAAGCAGAAAAACAAAAACTTCCTTTTTACACAGTGGATATATAACCAAATAGAACATCCTGTAGATGTCATACTATTTTAACCCGACACCTTCTTCAAAACTAACATTAGGAATGAGTCCTTTAAAATGAAAATTTGTTATTCGAAAATCAAAGAAAGTTATTCATTACTTCAGATCCTTCTTAACCAATTTTCAAATTTGGATGCTCAAAATTTCCCTTCTTACAGTGGTCTAAAATAATTTAAAATTGTGTCATAAAAACGAGATTCATAACATTTTTTAATCAATTTTCAAATTTGAATATGCATAATTTTGTTCTTAACACTGACTCAAGTCAAATTACATTTAATCCTGTTGCAAAAATAATCACAAATATATCAAAAACTTTCAATTGTTTATGGATTGGGGAAAATTTCATTTATTTTACTAAAATGTCTACTATTTAAGTGATTTAAACAAACCTTAAATTGGACTGAAGCTTATTATTTCAAGCATTAATTACTGCTTTATAATTGTGTTGCCTTCTTTTCAGAAATTCCTAGACATAGCTGGGCCTCATAAAAAACAAGGGATAGTATATAAAAGGGGTTTTTACTTAGATGGACTGGTAAGTACAAACACTTATAATTCATGAAATTTATTCATCAAATTTTTAAGACGCATTTAATCGAAATGTTTTTTCAACATATTTCAGCATTGATGGTATCAACTACGTGCATATATTCCAAAATTCGATCACCTTCTTGAACCATGATTGAGTTTTACCATTTTCCATTGTTGATCTGTCGTATAAAAATTGGGACCTTCGTTGTATAATTATGTAGGTAAGTTTATTGTTCATAATTTTAAATATCTTTCAATTGTCCCATCAATTAATTAACTCTTTTTAACTCTTAGTAATGCGTAAATCTTTATCTTATATTTCCACTTACAATTCATTTTCTATCACTTATAATATTTATTTCATGTTGACGTATTTTATTTATGGTTTGTAATTATTTTTAAAAAATTAAACAAACTTTAAACTGGACTGAAACTTATTCTTTAAAGTTCGAATTACTGCTTTATAATTGTGTTACCTCTTTTCTTTAGAAATTTCTAGACGTGGCTGGGTCTCATAAAAAACAAGGGATGGTTTATAAAGTGGGATTACTGAGATGGGTTGGTAAGTACTGACACTTTTAATTCATGAAAGTTTTAAATTATTCATTAAATATGTAAGACCTATTTAATAGAAACGCTTTTTCATCATCTTTCAGCATCGATGGTATCAACTGCGTACCTACATCCCAAAATTCGATCACCTTTTTGGACCATGGGGGAGTTTTTCCATTTTCCGCTGTTGAGCTGTCGTGTGGAAATTGGGACGTTCGTTGTATAATTATGTAGATAGACAAAAGTGGATTTATTATTCACAATTTTAAATATCCTTCAGTTATTCTATCAATTTATTGACTTTCTTTTTTGGTAATCTAATGCAATTTTTACATCCTTAGCGTCAAATCATATTAATCATTTTGATTTTTATCTTATTGCGAAAAGTTTCGCCTTTTTACTTATTTTTTAGTCTTTGCAGTAGTCATGCATAAATTTTTATTTTATATTTCAACTTACAATTCATTTTCTATCACTTTTAATATTCATTTCAAGTTGCAGTACCTACTTCATTTATGGTGTTTAATTATTCTTAAAAAATACTAAAAAAGACAGTCTTTATTACTATTATGATTTGTTCTTATAATAATTCTATGTAATGTTTGGTTACTTACTTCCACACCATGAGAATTTTCTTATTTACAAAATTTAGCTTTTTGAGTACTATAAACTGTTTAGGGTGATGGCTGTTACATGTGGAAACTTATCCATAATTATTAAACTAAAACACATAAAGTTTCACGAAATCATAATTGTAATCACGACAATATTGTTTCGTCACGCAGTGGCATCATCAGGGGATGATTATACAAATTTAACTGACTTATACCTACCTATATTCTCTAGGTGGGTGGTGAGAGGTTGTTAAAATTTGTTCGTTTAAAATCACCCCTTTATTATAGTGTCTATTTATTTTTAATTGTTCTAGTAAATTTAACTTAAAACCTAGTAAGTTCGGAGTTGTTTGATCCATACTCTCTCTACTTTTTTATTAATTGTACTATTTTTAAGAACCACCCTCACCTAGCTAGTGATTATAAACAGGTATAAATCAGTTAAGTTTGTATATTCACCACTTGATGATGTCACTGTGTGGCGAAACAATATTGTCGTAATTATTGTTTTATTTTAATAATTTTGAGTGCTTTTCAACTTTATGACTTTATTTAAATTATTATAATTCAAAATCATTTCAAGTGTTTATTTAATAACTTACATTCACATGATCAGTTACAAATTAATTTATTTATATTACAGTTATAAGAGTTGCTCATCAAATTACCTTTTGCAATAATTTTTTTGATTTTCCCTTACTTATCTTTCTTTTTGTATTTACTTTATAATTACTTAAATAATTTTTCATTTCGCATAATAACTTCTAAATTATTTTGTTTCTTATTCAAGTTCAAATAGATAGAATAACTGAATTATTAATTTTACCTTAATTGCCTACATTAAATAAAGTACTAAAAAAACCTTCTTTACATACGGTGGACATATAACGAAATAGAATATCCTGTAGATGTCCTTATACCATTTTAATCCGGCGCCTTCACCAAAATTAATATTAGGAATGAGTCCTTCAAAAATATCTTCAATTTTCTTTCTTATTTAAGTTTAAATTGATAGAATAACTGAATTATTAATTTTACCCTAATTGCCTACCTTAAATAAAGTATGAAAAAGACTTCCTTAACATACAGTGGATATATAATCAAATAGAATATCCTGTAGATGTCCTTATACCATTTTAATCCGGCGCCTTCACCAAAATTAATATTAGGAATGAGTCCTTCAAAAATATCTTCAATTTTCTTTCTTATTTAAGTTTAAATTNATCTATAGATTTCGGCAATGATGTCAATATCATTGTAATAATAAATATTGGGGATTTGGGAATTCATTATGGGGTGAAAACGATGGTGTGAATGGGATGTTCGAAGAGAAAAAGTGAGAGAAAGAACAGTGTGAGGGTAAAAATGGGAGAGTGAACGATTGAAAGAGAGGGAGAATATGTGTAAGGGTAAAAGTATTTGTATGAATAAAAAGAGTTATGTAAGGAAAGGAGAAAATATGAATGAGGGTGCGTGGTATGCGAGAGTAAATGATTGCTAGGGTGAATATAAGAGAGAAAGAGTATGTGGAGGGTGAAGTTGTTTGTATGAATGAAAAAGTGTATGAGGGAGAGAAAATGTGGATGAGGTTGAATGGTAAGCAAGAGGAAATGAATGCGAGGGTGTATATAGGAGAGAACGAGTAGGAAATGTGGATGAGGGTGAATGGTATGCAAGTGAAAATGATTGCGGGGATGAATATATGATAGAACGAGTGTGCGGAGGGTGAAGTTGTTTGTATGAATGGAAAGAATGTGAGGGAGAGCAAATATGAATGTGGGTGCGTGGTATTCAAGAGAAAATGATTGCGAGGGTGAATACATGAGAGAACGAGTATGTGGAGAGGGAAAGAATGTATTCGTGGGAGAAAAAGGGGTAAGAATGGGTGACAGGAAGAATAAAAGTGGGGCAGAATGTATGTAAGGGTGAAAGTGTTTGTATGAATGAATGAGTGCGTGTGACGGAGAGAGAGTATGAATGAGAAGGTGAGAATGTGTGAGAAAGAGGGGTTGTCTGTGAGAGAGAATGAATGAGGGCGAGAATGTGTGTATGAGAGAGGGTATGTGTGTGAGAGAAAGAGAGAGTATAAATCTGTACTCTCCTCTCTCTCACACACACGTTCTTTCTCAAGCACACACTCTCGCCCTCGGCGTGAAAGGGGGTGAGAATGTGTGCGTGAGAGTGTGTGTGTGAGAGAGAGTACAAATCCGTACCCATCTCTCTCACACGCACTCTCTCATACACACACTCCCGCCCTCGGTATGAATGACACAAGGGGGGAGACCCCCGGTATGAATGAGGGTGTGAATGTTAAGGGGGCGACGCCCCCGGGGCAAGGGGGGAAATAAGGGGGGAAGCCCCCGGGGCAAGGGAGGAGACACAAATAAAACGAGAGAATCCTTATACTGTGTTTTATTTCAAAAAGACAAAAAAAAATTTTTCAGGCCTACCAGGTTTAGTGCGAAAGGTTTTGTTAATTCGACGAGCGTCCGGGACAAGGCCCGGACGTTGGATTGTCCAAATTCGAACTGGGAGGCCCCCAAGACTTGGAAGTCGGAACTTCCGGGATACTAAGTCTCAGAAACTTCGAAGTTCGAGTCCCAAGTTCTCCAAAACAAAGGATCCCGAAGGAATCCGATGTTTTGGAGGCCTTGAGATTCGAATTCCGAAGTTTCCAAGACCCAGGACCCCGGAAGTTCCGAGATCCGGGTATTGGCGACTTCGAAGTTCGAATCTGGACGCTCCAGAACACTCCCGACGCGACACTCCCGATAGAAGTCCCGCGATATGGTCCTGATGATGGTCCTCCTGCAACAAAGACATAATTGCGTTATTATTTTTCATGCGAAGTTAAAAATGTTATATATTAGTTATGTTGATTGTTTATAACAAATACTTTCCTTTTTTTCGAAAAGTGTTAAATTTTATAAAAGGAAATGAAACAATTATAAAGTGGTAAAAGAAAAGTAAATTAAAATACATTAAAGGATGAAGAAATTATTAAAAACTGATGATATAAAGTTACCGTTATAAGTAATAAAAGCATGTAATTGCTAAAATAACTGATAAGAAGAATTCTAAAAGTAAAATTCGTACAATTTCCCTAGACAACATAATAATAAAGTGTAACAATTTGATTAAACTAAACTAAGCAAACGTTATTTGTAAAGGAAAGTAAATGTTATAAACAATTAATATAAAAAATTGAAAATTTGCCTCAAAGTAATGAAAACACTAAGCCATCTCAAATTAAGGTAAGTTAAAATATGATTAAATTGATTAGGATTAGGTACACAAGTTCAAGTGATGATAAGAAATAAAGAAAATTAATTTTATTGTGTTATAACCCAATTAAAAAAAAATGGAAAGATTAAAACTGAATCGAATGCATAAGAGGAAGAACATTTTATACAAACAACTTCTACCTCTAATATATTTATCCTCGCAACCATTTTTTCTTGCATACCATTCACCTTCATCCACATTTTATCCCTATCGTCACACTTTTTCATTTACACAAACATTTTCACCCTTCACATACTCATTCTGTCATATATTCACCCTCGCAATCATTTTCTTTTGCATACCAATCACCCTCATTCATATTTTCTCTCCTTCACATCCTTTTTTATTCATACAAACAACTTCATCCTTCACATACTCGTCCTCTTGTATATTCATCCTAATAATCATCTTTTGCNTATCAATTTAAACTTAAATAAGAAAGAAAATTGAAGATATTTTTGAAGGACTCATTCCTAATATTAATTTTGGTGAAGGCGCCGGATTAAAATGGTATAAGGACATCTACAGGATATTCTATTTGATTATATATCCACTGTATGTTAAGGAAGTCTTTTTCATACTTTATTTAAGGTAGGCAATTAGGGTAAAATTAATAATTCAGTTATTCTATCAATTTAAACTTAAGTAAGAATGAAAGTTGAAGATATTGTTAAAGGACTCATTCCTAATATTAATTTTGGTGAAGGCGCCGGATTATAATAGTATAAGGACATCTACGACTCACCCTCATTCATATTTTCGCTACTTCACATCCTTTGTCATTCGTATAAACAACTTCACCCTCCACATACTCGTTCTCTCTTATATTCACCCTCGCAATCATTTTCTCTTGCTTACGACTCACCATCATGCATATTTTCTCTCCTTCGCATCCTTTTTCTTTCAAACAAACAACTTCACCCTTCACATACTCGTTCTCTCTTATATTCACCCTCGCAGTCATTTTCTCTTAAATACCACTCACCCTCATTCATATTTTCTCTCCTTCACATTCTTTTTCACTCATACAAAAAATTTCTTTTTGATTAAACGAAGCTAAGCAATTGTTATTTATAAAGGAAAGTAAATGTTATAAACAATTAATATAAAATTGAAAATTTGCCCCAAAGTAATGAAAACATTAAGTCAAGTCAAAATAAGGTAAGTTAAAATATGATTAAATTGATTAAGATTAGGTACACAGATTCAGATGATGATGAGAAATAAAGAAAATTAATTTCATTATTTGGTACCCTAATTTTAAAAAAGGATTAGAGACTAAAACTAAAATTAAAAGAGGAAGTAAATGCATGAAATATACATAAAAGAACAAAGATAAAAAAGGACAAATTTTCGCTCCAAAATAAAGAAAAATTATATTGGAGAAAAATGGATGTATTTTATACATTTTCTGTTACGTGGACTTCCTGGCTGATACAAAGATAAACTATAGTGCAATAGCAAACATCAGGTTGATATATATGATTTTTTGCAAATTTGTAAAATTTTTACA